GAAGATGGAAGAAAAGAATGAAGAGGATTTGATGGCTTGATAGAAGAGTTTCCGAGCCAGAATTTATAGAAAACCAGAGGGTAGTTCAGAGGTCGTGAGAAGCTCAAGGGGCACGGGGTTGCCTTCATCCTGTCGAGGGAACACGAAGTTCCAAAAGATTGAGATACACGCATGCGGGTATTCAATCAATGTTGGCGCTTGGGATTCCAACCTTAACATTGATTGAAGGGGGCACTGTTTGGATCAAAACTTGAAACTTTGGGCTCAAGAAAGGAGTTGGCCCAAAATGAGGCCCGAAAGGGAGATAGCCGAAGCCCAGTCGAAGCCCAGAAAGCAGGGAAAGGCCTTTTCTGACTTGGTGCAGCTCATGAAAACCACTTGCTTACCTACCCAAAAGCCAAGTGGTGTAGACTGGTCAGCTACACAGCCCATAAAGCACTTTATGGTGGCATTACATGTAAAATAGCTGATGAGTCATCACCCTCAAACCGCATTCGGGCAAAGCTGCTGCTACCAAAGGCCAAGCCGAGTTGTCTATATAAGAAGAAAGAAAATCCAAGATTAAAGACACTCAATCAAACAAACAAATGCAAGCACAAACTCTGCTCAAAGCCAGATTTGCCTTCAAAACAAAGCTGTAATCAGCCTTCATCCCTTTCGGGACCAGCCTTCATCTCTCTCGGGATAACCCTCTCTTCAACCCTTTGTAATAGCTATGCTACCTTGTTAAACCTTGCTGTAGTATCGATTCATCTTTTGTAATCTCTCTCTCTACCCCTCTAAGCTTTCAGACCTTTGACAAAACTACAAAGATAGGAACCTGTAAGACGAGCAACCTTACCCGATAAGGTTTAACCTTTCCCGACCTTCTTTGCTTTAGTTTTGTCTTTTCAATATGTTGTATACTTCCAGTTATATGCAAGTTATTTCTAGCAACATGACTATTAAAAAGCTTTCTCAGCACTTGAATCCGATTTGAATATATTGTCAGTGTTCAAACTAGATCCAAGTCCTAAGCCCTCGGGCATGTAAATCTGATCAGTTAAAAGTCCTTGGCCTCAAGGCATAAAAAAGAACTTTATGTGGACTTAACCTATCCACGACAGTCCTTGATAAACGAGAAGTCCGAAGTTACTTGGGGCGCAAGTAATCAACCTACCTTCTAGTTTTCTTTCTATTATGTCATGATTATCATAGAACGCTTGAGCATGGAATGGATTCTAATGGAAAGCCTCAAGGCCTACACCTAAGGCCCCACAAAGGCATCCATTTGGATTCATTCCGTTCGGCGATCTAAAGAGTCTAAGTATAAGAATGAACTCTGATGGGAAGCCTCAAGGCCTACACCTAAGGCCCCACAAAGACACCTATTTGGGTTCATTCTACTTCTTGGATTCGGGTAATCAGAAGTATAATAGTTAGAAAACTCCTACAACCACGAGAACAAATATGATGCGTTCGAGCACTGGTTTAGTTATTTATGGGAAGCCTCAAGGCTTACACCTAAGGCCCCACAAAGGCACCTGTTATAACTAACATGGTTTCTTGGATACATACATATATACAACTAAAGCACGACAACCATTTTACATCTGCCATGCTAAAGATGGCAGTGGCACGCCTGAGCACCTAAATGTTAACCTTGATTGTGAGCCTCAAGGCCTACACCTAAGGCCCCACAAAGGCACCTCTCAAAGTTAACGCTATCCTTCTCTTTCAGCCTTGCCCGAAGAGTCTTGCCCGAGGAGTCTTGCCCGACGAGACTTGCCCGACGAGACTTGCCCGACAACGCCCGACAGCGAAGCAGAAGCCCGACAGCAGCCCTCAATCGGCGCCATCCTCCAGGGGAGCTGTGTGCTCGTCGGCCAGGAAACATCCCCGACGGAAATTCCTGACACGAACAGCTTGTCACCAGAGCCATGCAGATACCAACACAAATTAGAAAGAGTACTTAAACACACACAGTTTAATCAGAGAGAGACGGAGAGACCATGGAGTCATGAGGAGGCAATTCGCCATACAAGTCCTTAAGGTATAATTTGGTATGCAGACGGGACGGGACGGAACGGAGTGGGAGCAAAGATGCTCTCGGATGGAAACAAGGAGGAAGAAGAATGAGACGGAGAGGTTATAATTTTGTGTTCCACAAATGTGGAACTAGTCGTTCCAGGGGGTGAGGCGGAACGAAAATTCACCCAAAATTCGTCCCGTGGAACAGCGCGTTCCATCCGCTTTAGGCGCACCAAATGTGGGACGGAACGCCTCGTTCCACTCCGTTCCGTCCCGTCCCACGTACCAAACGGTACCTAAAGCACCAGTGAGCATACAATTTTGTCTTAAGGACAAGGTTTTAAAAGACGCTAGGCGCTAGTCAGGTGGCGAGTTGTGGCCTAACGCCTAGGCGGCTAGGCGGATTTAACTAAATCCATTATATTTCATATAAATAAGTCTCTGTTTATACTTAAAATATATATAATTTCATCATAAACTACAAATAGAATGACATATATATTATGAAGTATTGAAACACAATGAAAACATGGGGAACAAGTATATAATGTGTGTTCATTTAAGTATTCAACAAGTCTCTTACAATTTATTGAAAAAAATAAAATGCAAAATGAAAGTTATCTATTTTCTACCTAAGTGAGTCGCAACTTAAACGAATGTCTAAGGGGAGCTGTATGGATTAGGCGAGAATTTTTAAAACATTGCTTAAGGATAAAGAACCGAGTTCTTGACTCCGTCATCTTTGAAGTCTCTTACTCGAATTTTCTATTGTAATTTATTTAAATCTTTATTTCAATTAAAATATATTTTCAAAATTATTGTAAATATAACAGCTATCACTAATTTTACCAACACGTGACATATTCCAGGTTAAAATATACTCCCAATTGTCTCAAACTTGTGCTGACAAGTCCCTTTGATTTGAATATAACAACAAAGACATACCGCATAGAGGTTTTGTATCCCACATTGGCTGGTGGCAGAAGTACGCTAGTGAGGTGGCATATAAAAACAGAAGCCAAACAAGAGATGAAGCATATCTTTCTCGGCTTTTTGACTAAAATCAAGAGTAGTAATTATTTTTATTAATTTAATAATTAATATGGGAACCAATGGTTTATATAATATTAAATTAATATTTTTAGGAGAGAGTTTATTATAATAGCTTGTTATATAAAGGATTGTATAGCTATTACTTTTATTAAGTTCATTTGTATACATTTTCTCTAATCAATAAATACAATCTTGTTTGTTTCCTTTCTCTTTCTCTGTACCGATTCTTCATCTTTGCAATGTAGTTAATACAAAGAACACTTACCCGTATAACCTCCCGTTACCAGTAATCTCCACAAGAACACATCCCATCTTTAAAGTGATGAATCTACTAGCATCGCGTACAATGATCTCTCGGTTTTTTATTAGAGATATGTACGTAACAACAACATGACAATCAATGCAAACACGCAAATTCTTCATCACCCTTCTTGGTACATTATCAGGAATGTTCATTAAGGAGAAAGCAATCGCCAACTTCTCACTATGGTGTGCCTAAGTTATATTCTTTCTCCTCATTATTCATATCATGCAAAACAGAGCCGGTATCAGGCACGTAACCATGCAACTTCAACTCTGATGTTAGCTCTTTAAGATACAAATCAATCTCCCATTGCTTTTCTCACCAACGCAGAACTAGTGAACTCGGTTTTCTATTTCCAGGCAGCTTTTACCCGGCTTCTTTACCTTGCTCTATCTCATAGCTTTTCTCACCTCAGAAAGATCGTGCCACCTTAGAGCTGAAGCATGGATGTTCGAGAGTAGCACATAGGACGCTGAGTCCTGTGGATCTTGCCTAATAACTTATTCAGCAATCCTTCTTGCCATGTCTACGTTCTTGTGGGTTTTACATGTGCAGATAACAAAGTTTTCCATATGATAGCGTCTGCTTTAGCAGGCAATGATCGTATCATTGCCTCGGCTTCCTCCAAACAGCCAGACCGGCCAAGCAGGTCAACCACACATGTATAGTGTTCTAATTTAAGATGCAGTACATACTTTTCGACCATAGAATCCAAGAACTCAAGTCCTTTCCGCAATGACCGCACGCATAAAGCAAACTCAAGAAAGTAACATCATTTGCCCCCAGTTCTTCCTGCTCCATCTCCTCAAGCAGCTTAATGGCTTCCTCTCCTCGCCCATGAAACCCATATGCAGAAATCATAGAACTCCGCGTTACAGTATCTCCACCTTCATTTTCCGTGAAAGCTTTCAGTCATTTTAAAAATACTTCCAAACGAGTTTGAGCTGTTTAATACAAAGGTAGCTTGAATTAAAGGGGTTTAAGGCAACAAGTTTTTAATGAAATACACTATATAATTTTTATTAATAATATTGACAATAATGAGTAAGTGGTGACAGTAGTTTGAGCGTGGTGGTGAGTATCATAATTATGTCAAACTTTGGTAGTACCGGCAACTGTTTTTTCATAACTGAAAATTTATGAAGAAAGGTGAAGAAAGGTGCAACAAAACTTCAACTTAATTACAATACTGCCACTGCCTCTTGTCCTTATCATTAAAGAAAGTTGATTAGGTGTTTATACACAAAAGAAAAGTTTGTGAGACTATTTTATTAACATAATAGCCATTTCTGTTTCTATTATTTCTTTTTATTTTTCTCAACCGTTATAACTCGTAGAATAGCAATATCATCAAACCAGTATTGCATATATCTAACTGTGATGGACATGTACATGTACAAGCTCTAAATTTCTGTATAAAATGTCCTGCAGTCCATGTCTCTTTGTATTCAATTGAGTTTACAAATTCCAAAATTAGAGTTCTTTTTTTTTTTTGGGTCAAAATATAAATTTGTTAGATTAAGTGTTAGATTAGAGAGTCGATGAAGTTTGAACCCATATCATGGTGCAAGGACAACACTCCTCTCTACCACTGTAGAAGACCGGAGTTTAAATATCAAGCTGGAACCAACGATGTAGAACACAAAAAGATCAATAAAAGACTGCAGAGTGGAGGAATTTCATGCCCATGTATATTTGGTCATCACGTTACGCTACAAGTAATACAAAAAATTACAGCTTTTATACACCTTTACCAACTATAGATGTTTAGCTAAGTGTCGATGACGGTATGAGTTGCACTATCTAAACAGCTACAGGCGACGGAACTGCAGCAGGGACCCGGTTTTCAACTGGGATTTCAGCGAATTCGGATAGGAGTGCCCGGAATTCATCCCCGGTCATTGTTTCCTTTTCAAGAAGGACCTCCACGATCTTGTCAATGGCTTCCCGGTTGTTTCTTATGTGGGTCAACGCAATCTCATATGCTTCATCCGATAATCTCTTAATAGCTGTATCAATGTCTTCAGCAAGCTTTTCTGACATTGAGTTCCTTGCCATCATTCTCATAATGACGTCACCGCTCTGGGACGCATCCATCAATGACCATGGTCCAATATCAGACATTCCGAAGGTGGTGACCATCTGCAACAATGCCAATTAAGTTCCTCAGTATGATAGAACTAGTAGTGTCATCTGACATTTTCAATTTCTATGAGAAGATAACAAATATGTTCAATTACCTGTTTGGCCAAACCAGTGATCTGCTGCAAATCACCAGCTGCACCTGTTGTCACCTCAGGCTCGCCAAAGATCACTTCCTCTGCGGCTCTACCACCAAGTCCACCAACAATTCTTGCAAACAGTTGCTGCTTGGAGATCAAGGTAGGATCATCTGCAGGAATAAACCATGTAAGACCCCGAGCCTGACCACGAGGGACTAATGTCACCTTTTGAACAGCATCATGCCCTGGAGTCAATGTCCTGCATTGAGGAGAATACAAAACGTTATTTTGGGTCATTTAAGTTTCTTATTCTGCAATTTGAGTTACTTGAGCATCATAAGAACAACCCAATAAAAGACTAAAATATCACTTACCCACAGATGGCATGCCCAACTTCGTGATATGCCACCAGACTTTTACTCTTTCCATCTGTCATTACTGTTCCTTCCATTCCAGCCACTATTCTATCAATTGAATCATCAATCTCTTTAGATGAAATTGCTGACTTCCCACGTCGACCAGCCAATATAGCTGCTTCATTAAGGAGGTTTGCGAGATCAGCCCCACTGAAGCCGGGTGTCCTCATGGCTACAACATCAAGGGAAACACTTCCATCAAACTTCTTATTGCTAGCATGAACCTTTAAGATCTCTGTTCTTCCTCGAATGTCTGGGACATCAACAGACACCTGCCTGTCAAACCGGCCAGGCCTCAGTAAGGCAGAGTCAAGAATATCTGCCCTGTTAGTCGCTGCAACCACAATGATACCAGTGTTGCCCTCAAAACCATCCATTTCTGTCAAAAGCTGATTAAGGGTTTGTTCCCTTTCATCGTTCCCTCCACCAATTCCAGTTCCTCTTTGCCGTCCAACAGCGTCAATTTCATCAACAAATACAATGCAAGGTGCATTCTCCTTGGCCTTCTTAAAAAGATCACGAACTCGGGAAGCACCAACACCAACAAACATTTCAACAAACTCAGAACCTGAGATGGAGAAAAATGGAACACCAGCTTCACCAGCAATTGCCTTTGCTAGCAGAGTCTTTCCGGTTCCCGGAGGGCCAACAAGAAGAACACCTTTAGGAATTCGAGCCCCAACAGCAGTGAACCTCTCAGGCTTCTTTAAGAACTCGACCACCTCCACGAAATCTTGCTTGGCTTCATCTACCCCAGCAACATCATCAAATGTCACTCCGGTGTTTGGTTCCATTTGGAACTTGGCTTTAGATTGACCAAATTGTAGAGGAAATCCAGGCCCACCTGGACCACCCATGCCCCCGGATGAACGCCTTGAGAGTAGGAACAAACCCCCAATTAAAATTAGTGGGAAAGCAAGATTTCCAATCAGGTTAAATAAAAGAGAGCCCGAGTCTTCTTGAGCATTATGTGCTGCAAAGTCGATGTTCTTTTCCCTGAACTTCTGGAGGAGCTCTTGGCTTAGCCCCGGAAGTTGAACACGAACCCGCTGCAATCGGTTCCCTAACTCAGGAGAAACAGCCTCAACAATAGCAATGGTTCCATTCTCAAACAAATCAACTTTAGTCACCCTGCCCTTGTCCAGATACTCCAAGAACCTGGAATAAGACATCCTTGAAGAAGAGACACCTTGATCATCGGCGGCCAAAGCATTCCCCGCTCCAAGTATAGCTGGTGCTCCTATTCCCACATTCCCAAGCAACAACTTGAGAAAGCCTCTTCTTCCCTCGTTTTGCCTTTGGTCTAGCGACGCCTTTGTGAGAACTGTTTTTGTCACTTTACCCAACGATGGAAGAGCTGAAGGGTGCAAGAGATGCCTGCCACAGAAGTCCTTGCTCAAATTTGGCTTAGTACCGTGGGTAGATAACCCATTCCCCACAAGGCATGCTGATGATGCTGCCATCTGTAAGTACGATAAAAGAGGCACTTGTAAGTTTATATGCCCAATCACAGATTGCAGGAAACGAAATTGAGTAGTTCAACAACCTATGCAGGAACAAAAAAAACAAAGATCGAAGTATAAAGAAAATATGAGGTCAGCTTAATATTTGATTGCATCTCAGTCCCGAAAAGTAGCTAAAACAAAGAATTAATTTTCAACAGAAGCTAAGGGATTGTTTGGTATTTAACTTGAAAACAATTTATAGTTTTCAAAAACGATGAATCTAGCTAAAATACTCAGTACTCATAAGTTTAAACAAAAATGGAATCAAGAAGGACACCGAACAGGCCCTAAATTTATCAAATCTCAATTCATACCATCATAAACATTACGGTAGAAATAACAGCAATTCAACATTTAACAGAAAAACATGAATGAATATCAAGATGTTCACTCATAGTGCAACGACGAAGCAACTTGGACCCTTGATGTCTTTTTCACCCAACACATGCAATTCTTTTTCAGTTTTAACTTTTTCAAATTCCATTCAACCAAAAGCAAAAACAATAGCATATAGCATATGTGAACAAGGTAAAAGCCAAAAACCAAAAAATAAAAACTAAAAAGCAATCAGGTGACATGAATTGATGGAGTGTCACCAAAGATGCCAATTTTCTGGTTCAATAAATTCACAACAAAAAATGCAAACAAAAACATAATGATTAAAAAACACACAGCCATCTTCAAGAAACATGCATACAATTGATATTCACAGAATCAAAAAATCACATTCAGGAAAAGTACATCAAACCCATGTCTAGTTCTATTTGTTTTCCAAGTACAAGTACGAAACCATAGATACAGAAATACACGAAACCGCAAGTGGTGGATTGCCCTGGTTGTTAGAGTTTCCTCCTCAACCCACTCCGTCCGGGGTTCAAACCCTTCCCTCCCTTAGGATAGTTTAATGTAGAATATCGATAGTAATCCAAGAAATACACAGAAGCAATACAGATATGCACTCCAATGTAACTGAAAGTAGAGATTAATGGACCAGCAGCACAAGAAGAAGAGGAGAAGCGCGTACCTTGAAAAATGGAGGGATTTCGTGAGGGAAAGAATGGGGATTTTAGGGATGGGGCGAGCTACATAAATAGCTCCAATGAATGGGGGAAGCCAAATGGGATTTTTTTAAGGAGTGGATGTGGTTTTAGAGCACCCTACGTGGCTTATCGTTGTTGGGTGGGAGGAGAAATTTTTTATTTTAACAGAAACACAAGTGATATATCATATATTTTTATATAAATAATGAAATTTTTTATTTTTTAAGTTATTAAATTTTTAACACATATATCTCATCATTTGTATAGTGACACAATGTACATCGTGTGCCGGTCACACTAAAAAATCTCTAGGGTAGGAGGACTTGGAAGTTGTTTTAAGTTTTTTTGTTTTTTGATTAAACGATAAATTTTGTTAGATTAGTCATCAGCAGAGTTTAAATTCACGTCGTCGTGCAAAGATTCAACACTTTTTCACCACTTGCTTTAAGGTGTTTTTTTTTTTTTAATTTCTTTTTCTTCATATTTTCTAGGCTGGGGATCTGAAATGAGCACGTCACTTAACTGTAAACAAAATGGAAGAAGGGGCACGTCACTCACTTCGATTAGCCGTGGAGTGTGGACTGGACACAAACACAATCAAACATTCAAACCAATCAAACATTCAAACCTTTCACTCACATTTTCTCGCTTGCCGACTATCTTTGTTGTTGTGGTGGTATACGTGATCATGTACTTGATTGTATGAGATCTCAATTTAAAAGTAACTCGCATGAACGATGATGAAAACAATATATTTATAACGAGTTTGATATTTAATTATGACTAGTAGATTTTTGACGGTCTACATTTTTATGGTTCCAAGTAATTAGTATTATTCTTTGTTTTCTTCTACTGAGTGTATAAGATAAAAAAATATAAAAATAAAAATCTAAGGATGAGAATTGAAATAATCTGTTTTAATGTGAGCATTGTACGATTGTCTAGCTAACTTTTCCTTTTCTGTCTGTATTCGTTTCGTCTGCTCAAGCTGAAGTGAGCATTATATGGTTGAGTGCAAGCTTTTGTACCACTACAAGTTTACAACATAAAAGCATAAAATTATCAGCCATTTAATAACTATTGTATTTTTGTCACTTAGTAATTACAGTGTAATGATATTTTTCTTCACCTATAAATGAGAAGTCATAGGTTCGATTCTCGTCAAATACGAATTTAAACGACATTATTGCTAGTAATTGTGAGATTCTGCTGCCCACTCCCCTCATTGTAGATAATACTGTTTGTAAAAAAAAAAAAAAAACAAAAAAAAACTATTTTAGATTTTAATTTTTGCTAAAAATACTTATTTTTAGCTAAGCTTTTAATCTCACTTTGCTTTCTGTAGCTCAATAGTCGACACTTTACTTCCTGAAACTCAAACTTCACTACACTTTGCTTCTTGGAACTCAATTTTGATCTCATTTTGCCCCTTAAAACTCATAAGTCATAATTTTACGCTATAAAACTCAAAATTCCCTCCAACATAACATATCCTAGGACTTGCTTCTCTTTAGGGATGTTTTGGACCTAGTTCTCGTCTACTCAGAAATGGAGGACATGAAAGCTTCATCAACCTTTTTTACAATACAAGCCCAACAAAGCCTATTAATGAAAAAGACCCCAACAATTTCATATTTGTTGTAAACTTTCCTAGTTTAAGTGTGATTGTGTAAATCACAGATTATATTTGATTCTAGTTATTCTTTCCTATATGGACTTATATTCCTTGGGGATGAATGAATTCTTCTCCCTTTTATTACTATAAATAAAGGTACTACGTAGGAGGGAATAACACACACATTCCCCTACAATTCTACAAACAAATCTCTCTCTACAACATCTCCTTGCCGCCGGCCCCCTTCCCTTAGTCAGATAAAATAGGCTACAACACGGTATCAGCACGCTCCTACCGCTACCCTTAGGAATCTGACATGGAAGTTTCTGCATCAAACCAGTTCATCCATATCATTAGACCTGTAAACGGGTCGGGTTTATCGGGTTTGAGTCAGGTTCAATCCGACCCGTTAAGTTAACGGGTCACCCGAACCCGACCCCTTAAGCTAACGGGTCACCCGTTTCACCTGTTAACACCCGTTAACAATTTTATTTTATTTTTATTTTTTGCATCGAGTTTATTTTTTGTTGTTAAGATTTTATTGAAATTACTAAAACATCCACCCAAATACTAATATTAACAGGTCGGGTCCAAAATGCCAGGTATACATATCATCTCGCAATCAGGTTCTTCTAAAACAATGGTTTTTATCTCAATATTTTTGCAGCCCTGATAGAATGAACATTCACCATAATGCATGACCCAACTTTACATTTTTCGAATTTTAGTTTCTATATAAATTATGTACGCATTATATTCATAATTGTTGAAATATGTGAATTTGATATTGACATGAGTCGCATCAAATAGCTGCTCATGCATTAAATTATATAAATATGCATTGAATTAATTTGAAATTGGAAAAAAAATGAAGGATTTTGTTTAGGGTTTCGTCGAAACGCTCCCATGTTGATTGGCCACCCACGTTACCTTCTCGAGTCGAGAACCCAACCACGCAACCATGTTTTAGTAATTTCAATAAAGTCTTAACCCACCCACGCAACCATGTTGGTCTACCTGAGGCTTGTTGCGACCCAACCATATAACGCCCTTCAATTGGTTACCATATACGAAACTCACATATCGCATCTGTGCATTTTGGTTATGTGATCTATGTACTGATTTCGCCGCCTTTACTTACAAATATGGGACCTCAGCAAAGAATGGGAATCTATGTCGGATATGATTCTCCTTCAATTATTCGTTACTTAGAACCTTTGACAGACGATTTGTTTACCACTTTTTTTGCGGATTGTCACTTCTATGAGAGAGTCTTTTCTTCATTAGGGGGAGATAAGAACGTCAACGTTCCTGAAGAACAACGTGAATTATCGTGGACGACTCCCACTTTGTCTCATTTAGATCCCTGCACCACTCAGTCTGAAACTAAAGTGTAGCATATATTAGATCTCCAGAGCATAGCTCAGAGCATGCCAGATGTTTTCACCGATCTAGCGCGAGTGACAAGATCACATATTCCAGCTGCTAATGTGCCTGCAAAGATAGATGTACCAAATGTACGACAGATTTCTCTCTTGAGGCCCAAGACGCCAACTTTGGTGATCTACGTATATTAGCGACTAGCCAATCATCTGCCCCTACATATAAGCGTGGCAGACCTCTGGGTTCAAAGGATTCACACCCATAGAAGAGGAAACCCACAACACAGGCACCTGAATAGCCTACCTTGAATCCGACTGTCACTTACTTATTCTATCCAACTCATGAAGAAATTCTAGATTACAGAAGCTTCCTTGAAAAGACGAATCCATCTCTCGAGAATCGTGAAATTTCGATCTATTATGCTAGCTTAGATGATGTGTGGTGTAGAAATGTGATGATTGTCGACGATGCATTAGCATATGCAATAACTATTGAGATCATGTTGAGTGATGACATTGAACCCCGTTTCGTTGATGAATGTCGATGTAGAACCGATTGATCAAACTGGAAACAAGCAATCCAAGTCGAACTCGATTCACTTGCGAAACGTAAGGTGTTTGGACCTGTACCTCCTACTCCTCCACATGTGAAGCTTGTTGGCTATAAGTGGGTTTTCGTTTAGAAGCGTAATGAGAAAAATGAAATTATGCATTACAAAGCTTATCTTGTTGCGCAAGGGTTCTCACAATGCCTCGGGATTGCCTATGATGAAACTTATTCACCCGTTATGGATGTGATTACTTTTCGCTACCTTATCAGTTTGGTAGTTTTTGAAAAACTGAGTATGCAGCTGATGGACGTAGTAACTATGTATCTCTATGGGGATCTTGATACGAAAATTTATATGAAAGTTCCTGATGACTTACATTGATTAGATCAAATATTTCAAAACCTCGGAACACACTCTCAATTCAGCTAAAACATTCACTCTACAATTTGAAGTAATCCGGAAGAATGTGGTATGACCGTCTAAGTGAGTATTTGATTAGTCAGGGATATGTGAACAACAAACTATGCCCTTGTGTGTTCATTAAGAAGTCTGTTGATGCACAAAATCAGTGAGGACTTTGGTACAACAGAAAATGTTAAGTTTGTGACATTCGCTAGATTGCTTCGGTCACTAGTGTGGATAAGTATGTAAATGGATAGGGACAGGGAAGCAAACACAAGATGTACGTGGTTCACCCAGATTGGCTACGTCCACGGAGTAGAGGAGTTCTCATTAATTGTGAAGGGTTTACACATGTACATAGGTTCAAGCTCTCCTTTAGTGAGTACTAGTGAATGATTGAGTACAAATGACATTAGAAAATATTGTGAAAGAATGATCTCTATTTATAGAAGAGAGTTTCTAGTTTCATTCTAACATTGACATGTGTCGTGTTGTGATTGTCTTCTATGTTGACACGTGTCGTACTATGATTGGCTTTTGATGTCGACACGTGTTGCGCTGTGATTGGCCTCTTGGTTAGAGGGAAACTCTTCTGGGTCCTTGACAGTATAACGTTGATCGGTGCTCAGTAGTTTCGGGATTGGTCAAGTATGGTACAAACAGTGCTCCCCTAAGTTCCCGAGTGAGGGAAGCTCCTCGGTTGGGGACTTGCAAGATCCAACCCATTGAGTAATGACGAAACTTCTAAGTACCGAAGTGTGGTATCATTTTCACTTGCCTTATCTGTCTCATACGTAGATGTGGCATATTCTTTAGAAGTACTTTTCCTCCATCTAGGGGTGGTATATTTAACCGATGAAGATGCACAAGGTAATGTATCAATTTCACTTGAAGCTTACTTGTAGTTTTGGGCTTGGTCAAGTGCGATACAAAACCCTATAGTAAAAGTCCCCCAAGTCGCCGAGCTGGGAGATTTGCCGAAAGTGGTAATAGACAAGGTAAGCAATTAGACTTCTAAGCAAGCAACCTGGATCGGAGGTTCGACTTCGGCTTCCAGTTAATTATTCTCCTTCTCCTTGTGTCGTAAACAGCAACAAAGATAAGGAGAAGCAAATGGAGAAGAGATGATATGAGATACTTTTTCTTTTGAAGAAGTAACTTTCCACAGGCTTATTCTTGA